GTTGGAACTGGCCATGCAGCATCAAACCTCAGTGGTGGGTGCCCCTAGCTCTGCTATGGCATCAGCAAGCGGGGAAGGATGCTCCGTGGGAGACCTCAGGTGCCTGGGCAGAATGGTGGCTAAGGAGGCGGCTGGTGCTGAGTCCCTGTCCTGGCTCCCATTGGTGTGTAGGGCCAGAGGGAGAGTTTGAAAGTAGGTGAAGGATGGATGCGGGTGGTGGAAGAGCCATGGCTATGTTATGTCAGTGCTGTTCCTGGCAGAGATGTTCTGTGAGTGTCCTGTGGGGCTTGGGAGCCAAGTGCCAAGTCCTGCTGACTGTGCCACAGAGTGCACTGCATCCTGCCCCATGGTGCTGGTACAGGACCCTGTGGGACGTTCAGGGTGATGCCAGCAGGCCCTCATGCACACACATGGCCATCACAGGCATGCTGGGGCTCCCTGAGAAGCAGCAAAGCAAAACCCCCAGTGTTCCGGGCCAGCCTAGCGTGGGCCTTTTGTCTTCGGCTTATCTCGAGCTGTTTTTAGTTTGCAACTCCCTGATTGCATTCAGTGACCTCGGCCTGAGCCTGCTCCACAGCTGAGTGCCCCTGCGGGACATCATAAATGCCATTGATCTGAAGTCACCCGCGGGAGAAGCGAAGAGCAGGCGCCCTGCACGCAGGAGAGGCGGCACAGCGAGCGGGTGCTCCTGGCTGCTGCAGGGGATGGGGCTCGTGCCGAAGGCCCTCTCGAGGTGTGGCATGATGGGGAGAGGGTTGAGGGTTAGCAAGTGTCAGTGTGCTGCGAGCCTGTGGCAAGGGCTGTGCAAAGCTGCCTTCAAGCAAAAACCCTGGAGCTCTCTGCCTGCAGTGCCTGGGGATGGGTTTGTGCAGCTCATGGCTCAGCCTGGTACACACAGCTCCCTCTGGACATGGTTTGCTCCCTCCTGATTCAAGGAACAAACAGGAGCTGGTGGTTTCTGTGGTGTGTTCAATGTTCTGTAGGAGCCCATAATGATGGCAGTGGAGGTGATGCACCTGCTGGTAGCGAAATGGCATTCCCTGTGCAGCCAGGCTGGCCTCAAAACCCTGTGAGAGAGAGGAGATCTCACTCCCAGCTGGCACTTGGTCTTGGGAGCAGGCTCTTGCACAGCACCATCAGTGTGACCTGAGCCAGTTCCCTGCCAGCCTGTCCCCCAGCAAGTGGCATGGATGGGGATGGCAAGAGCTGGTTGTCCTGGGGTGGGAACAGGACTTCTAGGGAAGAGCCCAGCTAAACATCACAGGGAGAGTCACTGTGAGAAGGTGGCCGTGCCTGTCCCTGTCCCCAGCAGGACCAGGGATGGGGAACTGAGCTGTGCTGGCAACAGTGGTGTTTTGGTGCATATTTTGAGGGTGCTGCAGACCAGGGAGCGAGGAGGTGCTGGAAGTGCAAGTTGCACAGTACAGTGGTTAACGCTGGGATACCCAGCGGGCAGCGAGTGAGGTTTGTGTGTTGGGCTTTGGCATGGTCCCCACTCATCTCACAGGGAAGGGGATGGGGAAGGCAGGAGCAGTCATTTTCCGGAGGTTTGCAAGTTTGGAAAATAAATAGCCCTGTGCCGTAGGTTAAGCTTGGCATCCTGGTGGATTAATCACGCTGGCTGCAGCCAGCACTGAGAGCCCCGGTGACGAGAGCTGTGGTTTATAGATGATGATTCATCGACTCGACTTAGAGCGACCACGTTATTCCAGCAGATTGCAAAATCATAAGAGGAATGTTGTGGTTAGTTTACGGCTTAACTATGCAAATCGTCAGGAAGCCTTCAGAGCTGGAGAATGTAAGGCACAGCGCGCCCGGATGGCTGGGCGGTGAGCAGGGGCCGGGATCCTGCGATGGGGCTGTCGGGGACCGGCTGCTCACAGGAGCCGGGGAGCGGGGAGGTGAGTGATTTGGGGTGGGGATGAGGGTCCAGAGCTCGCGGTGAGCATGTGAGCAGGGTGCTCTGGAGACGGGGGGTTGTGCTGCTGGCTGGGACGGGGGTTTTTCTGCTCGGTT